TACTACTAGGAGCATTCTTGCTACTAGTAACACGAAGCTACTAGTAAAGAAACGATACTCCTCAATTGGATTTGATGCGGCCCAGTGGTCGATGTGGAGTCGTCAAGTCCACAGTCAAAGGCCTTCAACCTGTCCACGCGAACACACTTGTCCCGCAGAATCCGGAACAAGTAGTCCTCACATGTGAAGCCACTTTCGCGTCAAACCTATTGGCCTACCATGGCCTACTGCCAAACAACTAATGACAAGCAGAAGTGCGTGCTACACCTTGCGCAAGCCAAGGCTCGACACAAGCAGGCAGCCTCAACTTGCTGGACACAAGGTGATACCTAGTAGCTTCTTGTTACTAGTGGCGATGCCAAGAGCCCCTAGTAGCTGTGAAATTGTTCCAAGGCACATCGGGACTTTCGAAATATCCACCTGGTTAAATGCAGCACTGCCGACCTTGGCGGACCAGGTCGGAGTGTCATGTGCAATGTGAGGATCAGGTACAAGTGTTGTAGTTGTGCCAGTTTTCATGAGAAAAAATACGAAAAAAAAATCCTTTTCAGAGCTTACAGTGTCAGTGTTTTCATGACATTTCATCCGGTTCAGCTAGCTAGCTAAGGCTGCCAAGGCTCCGGGTGTGGCTCCAAGGCTTGCCGCATCTTCTCGCAGAAGAGTTCCCCTTTCGGCGGCTCGTCTTTGAAAGCCGCCTTGTTTGGTGAGAACGACAAGGTGGTTAGACAATGCAGGTGTCAACGCTTGCAACAAACAAATGGAAACGCAATCGGAAAACACAAACGTAAACGCAATGCAAAAACCTCGCGCAGCATGTGCATTTGCTGCATCCAATATGTCCAAGCTGCATCTCCTCGCCACGGTAAGCCAGAGATGAAACTTCTTGGAAGCCCATCAGCCGCCAAAGAGGATGTCATGCCATCCGGCGACCAGCGATGATGAAAAGCGTAACAAACTCTTTATAAATAACAAACTCTTTATACAATATAGCCTCCAACCTATACTAATAAACTGGATTTGCCTTCAAAATCCCGGTCGGGGAGTAGTTATGTGTGCCACTGTGCAACAGAAAGGGTGGCAGTAAGGGCCAAGACCATTTGTGCAGGTTGGACTTGCACAGGAGCAGCCCAGGGTAGACAAGTCTCCTGTGAAGTGCAACACCTGTACTTTTGTATATTAAAAGTTCGTTGCGGAAGCCGCATGTTTGAGCCTGAGCCTAGAGAAAACGTACTGATCATACTGTAGAAAAGCGACACCAGCCAAGCATAGCAGACTGATCAGACCACACACAGAAACAAATCCACTGCATCCTTGCATCATCATTGAGTCAGTGTGTTGACGATGACGCGCCTCGAGGGCATCTGGGGATCACGCGACATGCTCCCCGTGCCGCCCGCTCCGACACAGACTGTCCTTGCCACTGTCTAGATGGCACCTTTTGACATATTGGCTGTATAAGTGAACATGTTTCTTCCAACGCATCTCAGGTTGCCCGTGGCTCGGGAAAAGCTTGGGGAACTGAGGGCTACAAAGCTGGGTTCGTGGGTATTGAAGCAAATGGTCCCACTCTAGTGGGCTGTGAGCACCATTGTGCTGCGAAACGAGATGCATCTCACATAAATTCCAGCAATGCGTTGCAGCAAAGGCTTTCCTCGAGGGCGCACGTGAGCACAGTCCCGTCCCTCCAAGACAAGGCTGCTCAGCTCCTTTCCCCACATCATGGGGTCAAAACGCTCTCTTGGCGTATCCACTAGCATCGCAGCGTTTAGAGTTGGAACGTGGAACCGGCATCAGAAGCCCAGCCTTCAGTGCAAGCATCTTTCGTCAAAAAAAACTCCAGGAGTGCTGGGCCCATGACTCTTTCGGATCGAAGGGAAGTTTCCGACTGCGCAGGGTGGAAATCAGTGCAAAAGCCTTCAAACTACTGGAACAGCCTATCGCAATATGCATTGGTTCCGATTGTTTTCTGCATCTGTAACGCCAATTGGCCCACTGGTAGGAGAAGTCTACTGAGAGTTCCCCACTTATAGGGTCGATGCCTACTCAGACGTGAGCTGGCGGTTTTGAGATTTGCCTGGAGTCTGCTCAGCCCCAGCCCTCTTTCAGGCAGCTGTGGCGGCCACAACATCGGCACATCTAATATATATATATATCTAATGAATCAGTGAAGCAAACAGAATGTATTGGCAGGGATTTGTCATGATGGTATGTTGTCGCTGCACTGTAGCCACTGCAGGCCTCGGCACCAAGTTCCAACGCTGGCTTGCACAGACTCAGGTGAACTCCATGGCAAATATTAGGCAACATCTGCAGCATTTAGCCCAATCGGACGTGAAATTTTTGTTCCGCTTCGTGTGGCGAAGGTTTGCTGGTTTGCCAGCGCCTCGGCCGCGTGTCAGGAGAGAGCCTTTGTAGCTCCAAGACGCTCAGCCCAAAGCCTCTGATGTTGAAGGGTCTTTTGACCCGACTAGAAGACCACGATGAGACGATTGAGTGGTTCACTCGCACATCAACGGTTGAAAGATCAGTGCAGCACCTCGTCAGCAATTCCTGCAAAGTGGCAAGCAACAACAACAACAATCATAACGAGGACGGGGACAGGGCACAAACAAATCATCTTCTTGCTGTCTTTCCAATGGGGTGGAAACTAAGACTGGAGACCCCTTGTTGCTTCCTGAGCCCTCCCCGAACACAACAAATTTCAACAAACCAACAAGTTCCTGTACTACAACTGGCTGTGGTGGCACTAGCAGCAACAGTCTAAATAGATCTAAATAATAATCACGTTAGCCGATGTTAGCCGTCATCCTCATTGTCTTCGTCGTTGTCGTCCTGCTGGTAGTCGTGGCAGTAGCACTAGCAGCAGCAGCAGCAGTAGTAGTAGTAGCAGTAGCAGCAGCAACAGCAGCAGCAGGAGTAGTTGGTAGTAGTGTAGCAGCAGCAGCTGTAGTAGTAGCAGCAGCAGGAGTAGGTAGTAGTAGTAGCCGTCGTCGTCGTCGTCCGCGTCCTAGCAGCACTCGTAGTCGCAGTCGCAGTTGCAGTCGTAGTCGTATAGTCGCCGTCGTCGTCGTCATCATCATCATCATCATCGTCGTCGTCGTCGTCTCAGTAGTAGAGCGGAGGGCATGGGGCTTGCGTTTTTCCAGCGCTTTCAAAATGACAGGCGTTGCTCTGACAAAGTCCATGTGTGAACTGGCACACTTTCTACAGGCGGACAGATGTTGTATGTGTAGCTGTAAGGAAGAGAGGTAGCTGAAGGACCAATCTTGCAGGGCACATGTCAACAGGTATTGATGATAAACCAAATGGCGGAGCATGGATACCCTGCGTTGCACAGAGCGGTCTTGGAAGATGACGCAAAGCAGTGTGGATGGCGATGTACCATCTTGGATAGACCAAACACTCCGTACACGACAGCCCCAGCATCATCATTGCGGCCACATGTCACACGCATTCTTCATATTGTCATATCTGACTCCACACACGCGCCGCAACGCCGAACCACAGCCGCAATGGTATTTCTTCAGGAGTTGCGCAAACCGGCTTAGACATGACTCCTGCTCTGCCAACACAACTCTGATGCCACGGAAGGCAAGAAATGGGAAACCATCTGGAGGGGCTCGTTGGAGGATGTGGGGCGGAGACGATTGCTTCAGGCAAATCCCGTTGCAAACTTTCACGCTTAACACGCTCAGGGTTGGGACTCAGTCGGCTGTGGAGAAACTGTGTCTAGCTCAATGGCGTGGCAGGAAGCTGGTTGAAGATGTTGAAAGTCTGGAGGATCCTGCTTGGTGGCATCCGTGAATGACCGTGTTGGGGTGCCGAAAGCATCTGACAAGCAGGCTGTGAGCTCGCTAACGCTATCTCTCCCATGTCACTTTTTCTCCGGGCTTGTCCGGCGCGCAGGCGGCAGCAAGAACATAAACTCTTTGGTTTAGAGCACGCCATAGAATCCACTGCGGAAATGCCACCTGGCCAGCCCTCTTGGGCCATGTTCCTCAATGGTGGTTTCTTAGACACCGACAGCGTTGAAGACATTCACTTCTTGATCAACTCACCGCCTACACGTTCCATCATCAGAAAGGGGTCGTGGGTTGGGCGGGCGGTCTTCCCAATCAAGGTACGGAGAACCTTGACTGCAACGACGTTGGCAGACAGCATCTCTGCCAACATGGCCGTGACCTCATGTCCAGGACCTCTGCAATCACTCTGTCACTCTGGGCTTCCAGTTGCACGCCAATCCAAGTGAGTTTCTTGGCCAGGCCAGCGTTGCCTTGCGAAAGGCTAAAGAGAAGCCCATCTTTTGCCTTGCGTCCAAATTCTGAAAAAGTTGCCAGAGGTATCGAAGGAGCTGCTGAACGTCAGAGAGGTGAGTAAGCTGAGGGAAAACAACCTGTAGTAGGCAGAAGATGGCAGAAGCCACGGTCTGGCTGAGCGGATCCCGAGTTGGCTTTGGCAAAATGTAGGCCGAAGGGAGACGTCTCGAAGTCGAGCTTTGATCAAGAGAATGCCTTGCCGAAGAGGTTGGAAAACCGGTGTAGTAGTGAAAGGAGAAGGTAGGAAAGTTTTCCTGAGTAGATGATGGTAATGGAGCGGGCAAGAAAGAACAGCAGCAAGCAGGTCGTGATGAGGCGGTAGAAAGGAGCTTTGTTGATGTAGTTGCCATTGTCGCCGAAAGAAACCTTGCCAATCAAGCTGAAGGTGAGAGGGAAGGTGCCAAGAACGGAACCACTTCTCAAGCTGTGACGGAATGATTGAGAAACTGACGTCGTGGGATCAGC